CAACCACATGGCAGGTCACAATCATCTAAGATGAGGTCTGGTGCCCTCTTCTGGCATAATACATAAATTAAAACAAAACAAAACAGAAAAACCAACTGTGGGTCACACAAAGGCAACAACACGTCACCAGAAGCCCAGGCCAGTGGGCAAGGACTCAGGAAAGCTACATCCTGGGAGCTCACTACCTGCCCCATCCCGAGGGGCTTCAACGGGGTTCCTAAGGTTGAGAGTGGAAGGAATGGGGGGAGAGGGGAGAAGAGATGCAGGAATGAAAGCCAAGTCTGTCTGATCAAGGCTTCCATTTATTAGAAATTTTTACCCAACTTATAAAGGGAGAAGACAAGAAAGGGGGAAGGTTAATCTACTGCTGCAGGAAATAGGAAGAGTGCTTTCATCAGTTAACTACTGTACCTGCAAGATACCATAAGGATCATCTTGGGTTTTGTTTATATATTTGTTTTTTTAATATGTTTTATTGATTCCTTGTCAGTTTCAGTCCATGCAGCCCAGTCCTGCTCATCTTCCTGTCTTCATATCTGCCCTTTCCACTTGCAACCTCCCTTCCCAAAATAATGCACATGCAAACACACACACACACACACACACACACACATACACACACACATACACACACCATACAAAACATCTCATCATGGAGCCTATAGTATGTCACAGTGTGTCCAACAGTATACCCTTCTGTTCACTCATTTTTATTTGCAAATGTTCACTGCAAGGAGTCATTGGTCTGATTTGAGATCTCCGGCTTCTGTGATACCAGTAATGGATCCTCATGGGGTATCCAGTTGTTGCCCTGTGTTAAGGAGATCCTGCCATTTTGGAACAGCAGGACTGGTACTTTACATGTCCCAGTCATTCACACAGGATACAGATCTTGGGGTAGGTCGATTCAGAGCCCTGGATCTGGGCTTGAGTGGTAACCGAGGCAGCCCACCACCACAATCCCCAACTCCCAAACCCTCCTTCCTGCTTGTCATCTGCTCCATCGGGACGAGCTCTCGAACACTGCTCTGGGTAGGCTAACCAAGGCGGCCACTGACAGGAGGCAGGCTCAGCTCTCCTGCTCTCACGCCCTCAGGGCCAGCTCACCTGCACCCAAGCTCACCCATTCTCCCAATCAAGGCGTGGAGCTCACTCTTGCAAGTGCTGTAGCCTGCGAGTGGCTGGGTCGGCTCTCCTGCTCTCACACCCTCAGGGCTGGCTCCTCAATGCCTTCCCCATCAGGGCTGTTGGTGAAGGAGAGGTGTTGCCCAGATGAGGTGCAGGGCCTGCTCTCCTGAATGCTACAGCCAGTGAGGGGAGAGGGCTTGCTCTCCTCCCATGACTCCAGGAACAGCTCTCCTGGGTACTGAAAGTGGCAATGGGGGGAGGGGGAGGGTGTCACACCAACACCACCTCACAGCAGACAGGTGGTGGGACTCACTCTCCCTTGGTCTGTCCTTGGGGCTGGCTCAGCTCCCCCTCAACCAGGAACAGTACTGCTATGCCGCCCAAGCAAGGTGCAGGGCCCACTCCGCTGAGTGCTGAAGTCAGAGATGGACAGGGTCATCTCACCAGCTCTCAGGGCCTCAGGTGGTAAGGAGTGAAGGGGCAGAGGCTATATCCCCATCCCTAGACCGACTCAAGGCAGAGGAGTGGCAGGCCCAGCTCTGCCTTGCTCACACCCTGGGTGCTGGCTCACCTATGCCCCACCCCACCAGGGTTCAGTCTGTTGTTCTGTCCAGGCAAGGTGCAGGGCGCTGCTCTCCCAACAGCTGCAGCTGGTAAGGGGCAGGGCTAGCTTTAATAGCTGATGACCCGCGGGCAGCTTACCTGACTGCCGGAGGTGTCAGGGGAGGGGTGGGAGGGAGTGTCACCCCTGTGTCTGTGCCACCCCAAGGCAAACAATGTCTGGGTCAGGTCTCCCGAGCTCATGCGCTTGGGGCCAGCTCGCCCGAAACTCTGCCACTAGGGCCAGCTCACCCAAACCTCTGCCACTAGGGCCAGCTCACCCAAACCTCTGCCACCAGGGCCAGCTCATCCAAACCTCTGCCACCAGGGCCATCTCACCCAAACCTCTGCCACCAGGGCCAGCTCACCCAAACCTCTGCC